AATTGCCTTATAAGGTCGAAATAGAAGAGATCGACAAAGTTTGAATTGACGTAACATAAAACCTATTGGTCCGAAAAAGTCCGAAAGTGCCTTGTAGGTCGGAAATTAATGGTCTAAGTTAGTTAATGCTCAGAGAATTTTTTTTTTTTTAATGTTGGTGGATGTAACATTCCAAATTAGAAACCACTATCTAGGTTCTGCAAGTTGACCAAAAACAAATCACACAAAAACATAAAGTGAATACAAAAAGGTTTTAGCATTACTAGTTACCCACCAAACGTTAAGTTAAGGAATTTGGGGCCGCACATATTATTCATTCAACTGAAAAGAAGGATACAACTTGAACTTAATTTCGACCAATGGAACTTCCAACTTCGATTCAATCTAAGTTTCGACCAACATGCATTCATGACACGAGAAGAAAACAGAGACATGGCATGCCGTACAAGGAATTGTGAAAGAAACACACTCATGGCTCATGCACGAGTTGCATCATCGTTCACGTCACAAGAGTCAAGACTGAGCACAAACAAAAGATTACTAAAGATCAAGAGGAGCAAAACTGATTCAATCAGCCAGGGGGATTTCATAATTTGCACTTCTAAATACAGAAGATAAAATTGGCAGAAATTTGGGACACAAATCCTACAACAACCACCCCCGGTTAAATTCTAAATTTTCTATTTCGAATGACAGCCAAAACCGTGCGTGGAGCAACGTACGAATCTGATTATGCTCAACCATAAAAGCACAACATTATGAGCAGAGTGCCATTATTGATAATGTTCAGCCATAGTGAACGTCTATCCTAAGCAGCAACCACAACCTTTTCCGTTTTCTTACCAGGTGCCTTTGGAGCCTTTGGAGGCTTTTCAGTGACTACAGGCTCTGGTTTCTCAATTCCTTGAACATCAACTATCCTCAACTTAGTCAATTCCTGAAAGAAACATAAAAAAAATGATAATCACTGTACTAAGAAAAGAAGTTGTGACTGCTTGGACAAGGTTCCCGAACATACCTGGCGATGTCCTTTGGTTCGACGGTAATTCTTCCTCCTCTTTTTCTTAAAAATAATTACCTTTGCATCTAATGCCTGAGATGAAAACGGAAAAGGAACAATACAAATATAAATTCCAAAGGTGAAGAGAACCAATGTATATGTATTGTAATGGTTACAAATTTGTATTCTAGTGCCAGTGAAATTCTTAGCCTGTTATTTTCAGCTATTAAGAATTCGATGGCATTAACAATAGATACAATGGCGCATACCACTTCGTACATTTTATGAAGCTAATCTTTTTCTTCTTGCCTGTGACAAGTTTGTGCAGCAGAGTTTCCGAAAAGACTCTCGGAGATTAAGCTACAGTTTTTTCTTTAAAAAAAATTAATTAGGTTCATAGTTTTTTCCCTGAGCCTTATGAGGTAAAAAGAAACTACAATATTGTGACTCTGTGGTTGGATTTTGAAGCATACATATATTCATTTTTCTTCTTGACTGTGACACTCACGCACACAGCGGTAAGAAAAGAGAAACAATTCTGTCACACTTACGTGCTCCTCAACAACCGCATGAACTGCTGCATCTGGTAATATGGGCCTACCAATTATTGTCTGACTACTTGAGCCCAGCATGAGAACCTTGTTCAGTACTAACTGCAATAAACAAGCAAGCAAAACATCAGACAATAGAGTTCATTTATGAAAATTATAAACGTCATCTACCAAAAAATTATGAAATAGTACAATTATTTGATCTTAAACAAGGATACGATAATTCTATCATGTACTTGACTAAATTCTAATAGAGATCAAAAGAGTTATTACAAACCAACACAGAAAGGATAGAATCAATAGATAACAGGAAAACCGAATGTAAGCTTGCAAGTCCAGCTTGCCCTCTTGAGGGCTCGGATACAAAACGAACACCAATGGAAAAGAAATAGCATCCAAAATTATGGTACTTCGAACTTAGGTGGCCCTCAATGCTGGTCACAAAACCATCTTCCTAGTCTAAATATTTACCAAAACCAGTGCAACTCTTACACTATGTTTGGATGAGGAAAATAAACTTGGAATTTTGATAAAAGTCGGAATTTATAAATTGACATGCACAAATTTCCTTGTTTGGATTCATAAACATAGAAATTTAGAATTTCTGCGTGAAAAAAAACTAGGAATTTGGGACCTCCAATTCCCAAGTTCAAATTCCATGTAAATAGGTGTCATTTCCCAATTTCTATGATTGAGAGTTTAAATATAACAAATTCTATATTCAATTCCATTGTTTTTTTAGGTTAACCAAACAAGAAAATTTACAAATTCTAGAAAATAAAATCTCGTCATTTCAATTTCCATCATTTTTAAATTCCTTAGTAATCTCACCAAGGTATTCATTTCCACTTGTAAGCCCATTAACATACCATCTCAATTCATATGACACGGAAACTACTCTTCTACAATTTTTACAAAAAATACTGTCCCCCGGCATACACGTTGCTTCAAAATTCCAATTAAGAACTTCTTTTAAGCCCACCAAAGAGTCATAATCTTGGAAGACACAAATTCAATTGATCAAATAGTAGCGAACGCAGAATGGATGCCAAACATTAACATACCACCAGTGAACTGAACAGCTAAAAAGACTTCAAATTTCAATTTCAGCGACTATGAGTACTGACATTATTCCTGTGGGTAAATGCAGTACAAGTTTGCAACATAATGTTAACGCATACATAACAACCTACGATATCCTAACACCGAAATAGGCAACACGCAACAATTAATCTGTACCGACCTTATCATTCACTTCGCAGAATTTCAACTTTTCCGTGAAAATGCAGTCCCCGTTGCTAACCTTGAACTGATGTGAACCAACCTACAACAACACCACCACAAAATCACATTAATCAAAACCAATCCTACCAATCTAACAGTCTCATTCGACGCCAAAAGATAATAATCCACTCTACAGACGGACCTGAACCACCGCGAAAACCGGCTCATATGGCTTGAAAACCCGATCAGACCTCTGAAGCGGCCCAATCACTTGGTACCCAATGCCGGCGGCCTCCGCCTCTTTCTCCTCTGGAGTATACTCTCTTTTCGAACCGCTGCATCGGTAAGCACTCTCGTCCTCACTGTCCCCAACTTCTTCATCGTCGTCATCGTCGTCGTCGTCGTCGTCTTCCTCCTCTTCACTGTGCTCATTGTCTTCATTTACGTCGCCGATTCGGGGTTTCGACGAGAAATGGCGGGTAAGTGAGCGAGTGGGATCGGGGCTGGAGGAAATGAGGGAGAAATTGGAGGTGAGGGTTTTGAGGGGTTGGTAGATGGGGAGGGGAGCTGGGAGGGAGTGGAATGAAGGGCTTTTGGAGAAGAGGGCGGAGGCGTGGCGGGTCAGAGCTTGGAGGCGCCGTCGGGTCGCCATGAGCGTCGTTATGGCTCTTTTGGGCTAGGGTTTTAGCTTTCTCGAGTTTGGGGTTTTGAGGTGGCCGATATTTCGGTTGATCATGATTTGGGGGGCTTTCTTTGGGTTTTTGCTAAATTGCTCTTTTTTCAGTTTTCAGATTTTGATTTTCAGTTTTTATATTTTATAAAACTGAAAATTAAAATCTCGTTGAAGGAGAGCTTTGTTTGAGTTTTGCTAAACTGCTTTCAGAAAGAAAACTCAAGATCAAATTTTGAAAATTGGAAATAAACTCAATAAATAGTTTTTAGTTTTAATATATATATATATATATATATAGGAATTGCTTAAGGGGAGGGATCCCCATTTCAAAAAAATGGGGACACGCTCCCCACCGTTGGATTTGACTTAAATGAAATCCTGTGGTTGAGATTCTATGGCCTGTGTTTTAATCTCAACCACACAATTTCATTAAAGTCAATCTAACGGTGGGGAGCGTGTCCCCACTTTTTTTGAAAAAATGGGGATCCCTCCCCTTAAGCTCCCTATATATATATATATATATATATATATATATATATGTTTTTTTTAATTGAAACCGAAAGTAGTTATCAAATGGGTTGTTTGATAACTATTTCATTTTTAGTTTTTAGTTTTCATTTTTTTTCGAAAATTGAAAACTAAAAATTTGTTTGGTAACTATTTTCAGTTTTTAGTTTTATAAAAAAGTGAAAATTGAAAATCAAAAAGTAAAAACTCAAGGAAAAATTTTGAAAACTCAAGAAATTAATTTTCAATTTTTTAAAATTAAAATAGTTATCAAGTAAGATTTTAGTTTTTAAATTTCAAAAAGATAAAAAACTGAAAATTAAATAATTATCGAACGACTTTTAAGATTTCAGTTTTTAAAGAAGTGAAAAGTAAAACTAAAAATAAAATAATACCAAACTGCCTATAAGTGTTTTAAAGAGCTAAAAGTACTTATAAATTCTTCTGTCAAAATGTTTATAACCATTCTAAAAACAATTTCAAACTGATTTAGAGTTTAAGCAAAAAGTTTTTATCTTTCCGCATCATTGTGTTTGATTTTCTTTTTAGGTTTTGAAATTTTTTTATATAAGCTATCTTAGCAAAGAAGACATGAAAATCAAATCTCACTGTCAAGGGCAAAGCATTATCTTAGGGTTCCAAAAGTAGAAATTGGGGCTTAATGAATTCCTATTCACTTGTAAGTTTGGCTATAAACGACGAAGACATATTATATTTATGTTAAGCATAACTCAATTATGCACGATTCATATTCGTTATTGTTATCTTAAATTTAAAACTTCTCGTTGCAAGTGGCTCTTTACCACAATGGTGGAAAGGAGATGAACCATTTCCTGAGGGTGTGAGTTCAAACTCTATCAGTGGCTAATCTATCTTCTAATCTAACAAAATCTATCGTTTGACCCAAAAAAAAAAAAAAATTGAAACTTCTCACTATATATTGGGCTACAAGGCTTATTAAAAGGACCGACATTATGCGATCAAATCCAGCTGTTCGTTTTGGGCTTTTATTTGGGCCTCTAGAAAATCCAAAAATTTCAAAGTTTATCGTCTCTTTCCGATCAAAGCAGAAAAATTAGACAAAAACTTCATCATCTCCATTTCTTACAACCAAAGGAACTAGAAATCCTCCACCCGGAATTCTTTCCGTCTCCGATCAAAAAATGGCCGGCCGGTTCGGCTTATCCTCCTCTTCGCCAGCGGTGATGATGACCGTCACCAACACCCCCGCCCCAGATCTCGCTCTAACCAATCTCGCCTACTGCTCCCCCACCGATCTCCAGAACTTCGCCATCCCCGGCACCAAGCTCAATCTCGCTTCCGTCGGCGACTCCTTCGTCCTCACCGTCTCATATCCTTTTGATCTTCATGATTTCTGATTATTTTTATAATTTTTGTACAATTTTTCACTGCAATCTGTCATTATTCGATCACGCCGTTTTTGCTCCATTTTTTTATGATTTGATTATAATTATTTGTGAAATTGCTATGATTTAGTTGGAATTTTTGAAAATTCAATTGCTTGGAGTTGGTGTGGATTTTATGTTGTGTTTTTTGGTGGCCTTAATTGAAAGAAACTGGTCATCCAAGCATACAGAGCGGCCACATTGCGCTGAACGCAATCCAGCGGCGGCATGCTAGGGTTTCTAGTGGCGATTCTATCTCTGTGAGCAGGTTAGTCAGGCACTCAATCAATCAAAGGATCACTGGCTCGGAGCTGAGGTTTTGGTCAATTTTGGTTTCTAATTGTGTTTTTGAAATCCCTAATTTAGATTTGTTCCACCGGAGGATTTTAATCTGGCCCTGCTTACGCTGGATTTGGAGTTTGTGAAGAAAGGCACTAAGAGTGAACAGGTATTTGCATATCGATTTCAATTTTTACATTATTGTTTTCAGTTTTCTGTACGAATACAAATGCCATTTTAAGCATTGGGGATTTGAAGGGCTTCCGGATTGTTTTGTAGGTTGATGCTGTTGCCCTGTCGAAGCAGCTTAAGAAAAGGTTTATCAACCAGGTAACTTTTGCTTCTACACTTGTTTTTCATGTTTGTTTATATCGTCTGGTTTTTGTTGAGGAATGTATGCATATGATTATTTGCACACCAGACGAGCAAATAATGATACAAATGTTGTTCAAATTTCGAACATGATCCTTTCTGAGGCAAGTTACCAAATTGATCACGTGTATTACTAAATGAAGATTTCTTATTGTTCCAATGCGTGTGTGAATTTTACCATTAAATTAAGGAAGGAATAAAAGCAACTCATGCTAAATTATTTTGGATAGAACGTAGTGGTCAAGTACTGATTCAGTTATAATAGATGCAAACTTCAGCCGTATTTGCTTGAAAAAAATCAGCCGTGTTCTTATTTCCTGATTTGTTTGATGGATCTTTCTCTCTCATTTAGTTTTCCCCCCTTTCCCATCAGTATATATTACTGCAGGTCATGAGTTTTGAAACATTGTGCCTTACTATGTGCAGGTCATGACGGCTGGGCAAAGAGTATCATTTGAGTTTCAGGGGATCAACTACATTTTTACTGTCAATCAAGCTGCAGTAGAGGGACAAGAAAAGTCTAATAATGGTATTGAAAGAGGGATGATTGTGAATGATACATATTTCATCTTTGAAACATCAAATGCAAGTGGAATAAAGGTGAGATTTTGATATTTATCTTTACTTATTAATATAAATTGTCAAATTATGTCAGACCCAGTAGTTTTAACTTTTAACTAGTGGAAAGGACTGTATGACATATTTTAGCATCATTGTCTTGGCAGGCTACATAGATCCTTATTCTATGTTCAGAAAATGCAACTTCATGTAGTTGCTAATAGTTATCATTATAGGGTTTTCATGACCCTGTGTTTACAATAAGAAAACACAAAATCCTATATTAGAATGGTTGAACTCACTTCATACTTGGCCGTGAAGGTCTTGCAATGACAAATCAGTTTTGCACTTGCACCTTTGATCACTTATTTAGCTGCATATCCTATGCAAATCAGAGTCGTGATATGATGGCCATTTAAAGGAGAACATTTTCATTATCATTTAGTATACAATATCAAATAATGTATTGAAATTTGATATCTAAATTGTATTCTCCAGATTGTAAATCAGCGTGAAGCTGCAAGTAGCAACATTTTCAGGCACAAGGAGTTTAATCTTCAAACGCTTGGAATTGGTGGCTTAGGTGCTGAGTTTGCAGATATATTTCGAAGAGCTTTTGCATCCCGTGTATTCCCTCCTCATGTGACAAATAAGTAAGATAACTGATTCTTCAAGCTGCACTGATATCTTGTTGGTATATCTTTATACCACGCTCCTTATTGGAAAGATTTTGATGTTCCAGATTAGGGATTAAGCATGTAAAGGGTATGCTGTTATATGGGCCACCTGGTACTGGAAAAACTCTCATGGCTCGTCAAATTGGAAAGATGTTGAATGGGAAAGAACCAAAGGTTTGGAGTTTGATCCACCTTTTTTTAAATAATCAAATTTCTGAGTTGTCAATTCTCTTAAACACTGTTTGGATGAGAGAAAAAACTTGGAATTCGAACAAAAGTCAGAATTTAGAAATTGATGTGCGCCAATTCCCTTGTTCGGATTCATAAACGTAGAAATTTATAATTTTTATGTGAAAAAAAAACTTGGAATTTGGGGCTCCTAAGTTTAAAATCTGTGTAAATAGTTGGCACCCATTCTTCTTTTAGGTAGCCAACAAAATTCAAAAATTCTAGGAAATAAAATTTTTGTCATTTCAATTTCTGTCAACCACCACCACTCATTCTTCTTTTAGGTAGCCAACAAAATTCACAAATTCTAGAAAATAAAATCCCATCATTTTAATTTTTGTCAATTTGGAATTCCTTAGTAATCTTAAATTTCCTCATCCAAAAGCACTGTTAGGACTAAGAATTTGTTCTTTTCATTGGTCCGGAAGTTGAAAATTTATGAATGTTTGAATGTTTTCTAAGTTTCAGCTGTAATTTCAAATAATACTTACCAATTGATGACTCATGAAACTGAGATGAAATTAAAAACTAGGTACTCATTGTCACAATCTTGTATTCTCATTTTTCATAACAGGCATATGTAATGAATCGATTAAGTTCTGCCAGCTGTAAACATTGAACCATGCCGAATCATGCTTTAATACATTATTTGGATGCTAGTACATTATTTAAAGGTTCCAAAGCTATTTGAGCATGTTTGAATGATTTTGGATATGCAACTTTTCCTTATATAGGTTAGTTATTAAGATGCTTTGGTGATTGATGAGATTTTATTTTTGTGTTCCGTAGATTGTTAATGGCCCTGAAGTTTTGAGCAAGTTCGTTGGTGAAACTGAGAAGAATGTTAGGGATCTATTTGCTGATGCTGAGAATGATCAAAGGGCTCGCGGTAAGGGAAAATATATATTTCAAGTGCACTTAGGTTGGTTTTTCAATAATTTCTAATGTCATTATGTCCTTAATTCCCCAGGAGATCAGAGTGACTTGCATGTGATAATCTTTGATGAAATTGATGCTATTTGTAAGGTATAAAGATTTCTTACTCTATGCTATTTACTAAGATTCCTTATTCACCTACATTGTAAAACCTCCAAACCCTTCGTTTTCACAGTTGCATAGCTTGAATTGGATCAAAACGTTTCTTACTCTATGCTATTTAGTATTTACTATAACACATGCTTTATTTTGCAATACAGTCAAGAGGATCAACTCGAGATGGTACTGGGGTTCATGACAGTATTGTGAACCAGTTACTCACGAAGGTTGGTGAAATTTACAGTTGTGCTTTTTAAGTCTTGCAAAAACTTACAAACTTTTCTAGGCCAGTATATCTTCTTTGTGCTCCTAAGCAATCTCATCAATATGTCTGTGAAACTTCTTTTTCAGATTGATGGTGTGGAGTCTCTTAATAATGTTTTGCTTATTGGGATGACAAACAGAAAGGATTTGCTTGATGAAGCTCTTTTGAGGTGCTCTCTCTCACTCTCTCCAAACTCATTCCACAACATGTTTATTCAGTAAACATCTAATTTTTTGTCCTTTTCTTGTTTGTAGGCCAGGACGTCTGGAAGTTCAAATTGAGATAAGCCTTCCTGATGAAAATGGTCGTCTACAGATTCTTCAAATTCATACAAACAAGATGAAGGAGAGCTCTTTTCTTGCTCCAGATGTGAACCTTCAAGAGCTTGGTATGTGCATAAGTGACATGCTTGCCAAATCCTTATTAATCTCTTTCACCTTTTATTCAATTCCTCTTTTTCTCAAAAGTTGTAATTTTATATAATAAGACTTTTTTTATGTGGGCGGAGGGGTATGATGTTTTTTTCAAAATCAATGACCTTGGTCCTTGAGATTGGAATATTCTTTGATTGTTTAATGTTCCAAATTCTTAATGCATGAAACTTTAAGGATCCTGACAATAATTTGAACCTTTCCTATGTATCCATGAAGGAGATAGAAGGCTTTGCTTATATCTTTCATGTTTGCAGCGGCTCGCACGAAAAACTACAGTGGTGCAGAACTTGAAGGTGTTGTTAAAAGTGCAGTGTCATTTGCTCTGAATAGACAACTAAGTTTGGATGATCTTACCAAGCCAGTGGATGAAGAGAGCATTAAGGTTACTATGGACGATTTTCTACATGCACTCCAAGAAATTGTACCTGCATTTGGAGCCTCCACTGATGACCTTCAAAGATGCAGGTATGGCTTGAGATTGTGCTTCAGAACTATTTAATAATAGTAAATAAATCTGACCCGCTATTTAACTAGTTTCATCATTTTGTTAAATTAGACCCATCTACCAAGAATTGGCCCTTGTAAAAGTACAGAAATCTTGATTCTGGTCCCTTTAAAATGACGTCATGTTTTTTTGGTAGTTTGAAGCAAAATATGGAACCTATTAAATGTTTTTATTTGTATTTCATTTCCTCATGGTTCTGTCACTTGATTTGTAGACTTAATGGAATGGTGGATTGTGGTGATCGTCATAAGCACATATATCAAAGAGCTATATTATTAGTGGAGCAAGTCAAATTGAGCAAAGGAAGCCCACTTGTTACATGCCTTTTGGAAGGCCCTAGTGGCAGGTAAGCATAATTGTGTGCATTTTTGTTCTATTTTCATTTGCTTTTTGTTTACTTTGAGCATTCTTAACTTTACCCATCTTGGACAGTGGTAAATCTGCACTAGCAGCTACCGTTGGCATTGACAGTGATTTTCCTTATGTCAAGATTGTAAGCTCCCACATTATTTGTTTCACTTTACATATTTATATGTTTTTCAAGAATTTCCAGTCTTTTAATAATCTATATTCTTTTTNGCTCTTC